AAAAAAAAAAAAAAATAGACTAAGGACTGAAAACAGTAGGCTGGGGCTTCCTGTGTGCTCCTGTGTCTGTGTTTGTTCAGAACGTTTATGCAATATTCTGACTTGGCTGTAATATATAATTCTTAGCTATTATTTCAGCTGCAGCAATAATTTTTAGATTAATGATTATAATTTTGGTAAGACATGCATGAAAAGTTATATGTTCATGCTTGAAAGGAGGATCATTAAATATTCATTATTACCACTCAAATTAGTTGTCATGCTCTATATAACAGTTACCCATTATCATTTCACTAGTTTAGATTCAGCAATAAGTGAACAGCCATATATATATGGCTCATAGCAGTAGAGGAATTTTGGGAGGGCAGATGAGGAATAGGGAGAGAAAAGATTTTAAAATCCATTTGACATATTTATGTTGACAAATTTATTTAAAGGAGTTACTGTGTTGTCAATAAACATGTTTGTTGGAATATGATTGTGGCTGGATTTGCTTCTAGCTGTCTAATTACTCTGTGATTGTGAACAACATTACATCTCCAAGTAATGATGAAGGAAGAATTATAAAGGCTGAGATATTTTAGTCTTTTGCACATGTCTAACCTTGCCATGAAAAAGAGCTCCTTATTTGTATAAGCAGGCATTGAAATCTTGCTTTTTCAGTGAAGCTGCATTGTATAATTTGTTTTCTCCATCTGGCAACAAATCTATCCCTAAAAAAGGAAAGCAAAAAGTAAAATAGATACATTTTTATGAATATTTTGGATGAACATATATAGATGATGTCTTATTAGTCCATTATAGAAAGATAGTAAGAGAAAATAAATATAAATATATTTTAGTGTTAAAAATATTTTGCCTTTTCTTCCACATATATTCCAGTTCAGTTAGGTGAAGACATTAGGACAGCCACATTGTTTTAAATCACATACAGTAATCCTTTCATACTCCTCAGTAATTTTAAATTGGTTCTTTTCCCATAGAAAATAATCATAAATTTGATTCTGATCTCATCTAACTTTAGAGCTTTTTGTCTTAAAGAGTCAAATTATAGCTGATGAACACATTTTGCATTTTTCCACATTGCATCTGGACTCTTCATAATGATGGTTTATTTTATTTTATTTTTTCTGCACAGAGGAGAGGAAAAAATATACAGGTCCATGAATCAATCTAGATAATGGGGAAGGCTGAATGTAATAAATAATACAGTAACAACCCTAAACTAATGAGGTGTTACTGAGGTACATTTCATAGGCTCATCTACTATATAAAAAGTCACTAATAACCCCTTGGCATAATCAGATGATAAAGCTTTGCCATAAGGCAACACCTGTGCAATTAAAACTGCAGATTCTTTTGCACATTTCATTAATTTCAGGATTTTGTAAAGGCACAATGACTACACTAATAATCTAGTCTACTTGACTCCATGTCTACTGGAAACAAAGTGTCTAAATAGATAAAGGTAATTAATTAGAGATAAATGGAGCTAATCAGACTCAGTTAACACTAATTCTCTGAATTAAGACATTTTGGGACACCTACTATCCTGCTGACTTTGATGTTTTACATTAAGAATAGGTTCTGAAGGAGTCAGAAAATACTGGCATTTGAGAACTGAGCAGTCTTTTGATGGCATATTTAGGCATCTGAAGCTAAAGGAGTTTTCTTTCATATTGTGCTATTTCACCACCTTTCTATTGGAGCTTAAAGAATTCACTTTGTAGTTATTCTAGTCTGTGCTCGTCTCCATATAAATTTTAATAACCTTTGCTATCATTTTTATTATCTGTCTAGCCCACCAATGGAAGAGAATCACAAGTTGTTCTATCTCTTAAATAAAGACTTAACCTGTTACATTAAGGAACTGTCAGGAGTCATCAGCGTATATCCTAAAATTTTGATCCTTTAAAGAGAACAAACACCTAAAATTCTGATCCTTTAATTCTGATTCTTAAACAAGAACAAACCTCTGCTTCACTGTGTTGGACTAAAAATTCAGTGATGTAGGGGAAAGAGCCTGGGCTTTGAAGTCAGAAGACCTGAAATCAAATTCTGTTCTTTCTCTTACTGAATGAGTGATCTTAAGGAACTAGCTTAACCTCTCCGAATTTGCTCCCTTGTAGAATGAAAATAACATTGATTTGTGTAGTACTAACTTTACAGGGTTAGTAGTGTGAATAATGAGTGAGATAACTTATTTGGTTGGTCATTATTAGCTATACTTAGTTGGTTATTATTAGCTGTTGACCTGGGATTGAACATATAATCGAGCACTACATCCTGACAATCATATTGTTAAAAACGTATCATTTTCAACTCAGCCACATAAAAATCTGTGAGCTATGTATAAGCATGGACTGAAAGATCTGGGGATGCATCTCAGTGTTAGAGCACATGCAAGGACCTGGGTTGGATCCCCAGCACTGCAAAAAAAAATTAAATAATTTGGGAGAACATGAATATGTCTGCTCTGTTTTTCTACACTGAATAATTTTTCCTTTTGGCAAGTTATTCCTAGTCCAACAGGATAGATAAATTGTCCCAGAAATGAGCTGTGGATATACCTTAATATGAAGCACATATTTGGCTCTTCTGTGTCTGGGATATGCCCCTTTGTCTTTCTGATCCCTGTTCCAGTTTATCCGGACCATTCCTGGATTTTTGTAGCAGTACCCTAACTAATATCCTTGCCTTTATTTCTTTCCCCTGTAACCATCACCAAATTAATGTTCTTTATTAAAAAAAAAAAAACTTCCCTCATTCTCTTATTAAGATTATAAGTAGATTTCTTGTTAAACTGTGACTCCATCATATATACCATCAAAGCAGTCATACCTGGTACCATGATATTTATTTAGCTTTATCACCTACTGCCTTCCCTTTTATTTCAGGCTTGCTAGCCTTGCTATTCTTCACCCCACTTTATTCTCCTTGTATGTTCTTGTCCAAGCTTAGTAACTTCTTTCCTCTTTTTTTCAAGGCCCATTTCAAGTCCTGCCTTTTTCCCGATGTCTCCCTTGATGACCCTCACCCACGATGAGCATTCTCATATTTTTTGTGTGTGTTTTTTATTTTATTTTAGGTAACAGGAATCTGGGCCTTTCCTCTGGCTGCTTTTAAACCTTTAGCCACCCTGTGAATGAACCCAGGCTAGCTTGCTGTATTATGACAGTCACTCAGTCCAGTATTGCCCTTTCCCCAACCAGTGGTACAGCCACTTAGCTGACCAGAGCTCCTCAGAGAAGCACCTATGAGTCCATTCTTGAGCTGGGCTGAGCCTTGAGCTGAGCCTTAATGTTTGGAGACAAGATTACCTTTGAGAGGCCTGCTATATGGCATGTCCCCTAGTCATGGGGAAAAACATGAGCTACATATAGAATTGAAAATAGTTATTGAATTAAACCTGAAAGCTTTGGGTCATTTGATACCGAAAATATAACTGATACACTAGAGTAGGCTATTTCACTGTTAAACTAGTAGAAACCCAGAACACATAAAATATTTGGTCTCCGGTCTTGTACAGTAAGTAAACAGGAGAATGATGGTACTTTCAATAGAAATGGAAAATAAGCCTTCTCCATTATATGAAATAGGAAAATAGGTTCAGTTTTCATCTCTTCAGGGTAGTGTAGATCAAAATTTGACTTAGGACTTTTAGAGAGGTGTTAGGCTGGAGTTCAAGATTAGTATGTAAGAAACAGGTGGGGTTGTGGGATAGGGTGAGAATGTGGGGGAAGGAAGACAGTTGTCGAGGGGGAGCAGAAGAACTGTAAGAAAGATTGGTTGGCAGAGGTTGTTGCTAGACAGGGTAAGCATGACACTACTTACTCATAATTCAAGGATAATTTATAGCTTACAAAGGCCATTTATGTACATCTCATTTCAGTCCAGTGGGCCCGATAGGGCTAGGCATTATTATACCATTTTGTAGATGATAAAACAGGAGCAAAATCATTAAGTAAAATATTACCTGTCTGATAATATAGAAAATTCTAAATGTCTTAAAACCTGTGTTAGCACTTTTCACTTAGTAGAAAGTTCTAGAAAGGTGGTTGAGTCTGGCAAGAGGGAAGTTATCAACAACATTTTACAAAGCAGTCTGAGATCTGGGAGTAGGGTTTGTAGCTGGCTGGAAGCAAACTGGCATGAAGGTAATACTTAAAAGGATTCAAGAAGCAAGAAATGGAATGCTGTTGAGTGACCTGCTAGGGACTTGACAGGATGCCAGGTTAGGAAGGGAGGAAAATATACTCTCAGCAAGTTTGTAAGTGAAATGGAAGAGAAGTAGAATATGAAAACGAGAGAAAATTAACAAAGGGGAAAATAAAAATGAAAGAAAAAAATGAGAGAATAATTTTTTTGTTTGCTTTTTGAGACAAAGTGTCACTATGTAGTTTAGGCTGGCCTTGAACTCATTACAAAGCCTAGACTGGCCTTGAACTTCAGGTAATTCTCGTGTTTTGGCCCTGCGAGTGCTGGAATGACAGGCGTGCACTACCACAACCAGCTCTGAAAGAATAAAAAATTCAAAGCAACTCCTGAAGATGCCAGTGTCTACAGTAGAGGTGAACACAGGGGTTAGACCTGGGAGGGCCAAGTGACTGTTGGGAAGGAAGAAAGAAGGGAAATGACAAGAGATTTTTGAGGTGAGGAAGAGGAAAGGTGAATCAGTTCACACCAGAATCTTCAAATTCTGAGATCAGTTCACTCCAAGAAGAGGAGTTTGTCTTCTCAGAAAATACCTAGCTTCTGTAATGAGACAACTGAAAGATTCCTGGTACTGCCTTCATGAAGTAGGTTGCCCTCCCTGGGCAGCAATACTTCTGTGACAGGAAAAAAAAGTCTTGGGATGAAGAATACTTTGTGTGTGTGTGTGTGTGTGTGTGTGTGTGTGTGTGTGTGTGCTCCTGTGCGCAAGCGCGTGCGCATATGTGCTGGGCAAGAGGGGGACTGGGAGATTGAGGCCAGGGAGTGAGAGGCACAAAACACAAACAAGTTACCCACTACTCTTTGCCTGGAATCCAGGGTTGTCCTGAGAGGTAGAATAGATGACTTCTTCCATGGTGGAGGAGCTTCTATTAAAAAGTACCTTCTTACTCAGTTACTGGGAACTTAGCATAAGGACTTCATGTTAGTTACTTTTCTCCCATTGCTGAGACAAAATGCCCAACATGCAAAGTTAAAGAGGGAAAGGTTTATTTACCTCACACTTTATAGAGGTTCAGTCCATAATCAGCTGGCTCCAAGGCAGAGTGGCATGGCAGAGGTGCAACAACAGTTCAAGGCAGCAAAAAACAACAAAAGCAATGCGAGCGAAAAGGGAAGAACCCATGCAGGGTACCCGACCTCAGGTGGATGTAACACTCATACCATCTCCATGCCCTCTTCTTTCACAGGCTCAGGATTTTTACAAAGTGAGGACCCTGACCCCCTGCTGAGTCACATAGTTAAACTAAGTTTGTCAAATTGACACAATGAACAACATCCTAGAGTGGTAATGGCATATCCTTTACACCGTAAAATGAAGAATACTGAATTACTTAGTTAAGCTTCTAGATTTCTCAAGTTGACACATTGTATCAACCTTTGCAGACTTCCTTTCAATGACTCAAGGTTTCTGGTTACTGATTCAAGACAATGCTTCTGACAGGAACAACCTACTAAATCTTAGATTTTTCCTGAGAGTAAGTTTATTTATATGAGGAGGAGGACAGATGGGGG